CGGTTTCTTTGATCACACGAGCCACATACAGGCCCGCCGTTCCACCGAGCGTTAGTGTCGCAAGGACACACATCCTCTCAGAATCACATGTCGGAGACAACTGGTCCATGTCATGGAGCCAGTTGATGAATTTAGTGGTCCCCTCGCCATGAAAATTCCTCACATGTTTGGTCAGATTTTGGACTCTCAACTCCTGGACTACATCTTTAAGTGCGTTAGTGATTGTTTGTTCGGCCATAACGAAACACGTTAGTCAAAACACTCCGGTTACACAACACACAAATCAACAAATACAATTTAACAAATGCAGAGTTGCAACACAAAACAATAAAGAGATGTGATCGAATTAGTTTTACGGAAAATAGGAAAGAAAACCGACTGACTGATGACTGACGAGTAGTAGTAGAAGATGACGTACCGTTATGTTGATGAAGAATGAAGAAGAAGAATTTGAAGACGAAGCTTGTAGTCCCGACGTATCCGGGTCTCACGGCGCCAATTTGTAACCTTTGCGCTCGTGATAGTCAAAAATAAAGAAATATACCCGGAATTCTCGCGTTGTGTTTAAAAAAAGATGTTCCTTCTGGCTTGTATTGCCTTTAGCCAAGAGATTAGTAAATATGTGGCCTCAAGTGACCAGGCCCGACAGTCGAATGCCGGGGGCTCTGCCGCTCCGGCCCGGCCACGGCTTGGCCGGCACACAACACTACACGTCATACATGTACGTCATATCTCGGGGCCAATCATGAAAGGATTACCATATTAGGAAGGAAAGCGGGGCGGTCGGCAAGGAGGCTAATTGAGAGGACAGGGGAGGTACTTCGTTACAGAAGTGACCTCACCTCACAAAAAGTTTCAATGTCTGTCATAGCTACACGGCGTGACGGATCGCTTTGAAACTTTCAGCGAGTGCTAACAGCATTAGTATGTACAAAATGTGTTTCTCAGAATTTTGATATCAATGACCTATAAGGTCAGGTAAATTTTGCGACCTCCCTATTGTAACTCAATTGGAGAAAATTGCAAGGCGCCTCTTTTGGACGAAAGCCATTATAAACACTCCCAAACACTGAATTACAAGTAACTAAGACACAAGGAACATGAAAATGGTATCCTTGACCCCTGGTTATGCCCCTGAGGTCATCTCAGGTCACGAATGGCATCAAACAGTTTTTCGCGAATAACTTTTGATAGAGGCATGCTGGAGCAATGAAAACGCCTTGGATGTGCTCAGCTCGACGATACGGATCGACTGATATGCAACATGACCCTTTCCGGTCCGGTCATGACCTTGACCTGAGGCCAAATTATCAAGTTGACCTTTCAAGGTCACATCCCAGTAAACATGCCCGACGTCGGCCCGACGTCGGGCCGAGGCTCGGCCTGATGTCGGCCCAAAGTCGGTTCAACCTCGGCCCGACATCGGCTGGACGTCGGGTACGCCCGCATGCAGGGCTGAAAAAGTGTTTCGGTGGTTGTCCAAAGGCAAACGGGCTTATTTGGTTGTCAACTAAAGATGTCTAACCCGCGCCCCGCTGAGGGTCCTTGATTTCCACGCCTGCTCTCGGGAGGGGGGGGGGGTCAAACACCCGGCCTTTTTAACTCGGATCCTGGGTCACGTAGTGACAAGCAGTAAACGGCATTCGAAAGAACGTCCAAAATAAGGGCGAAAATATGACATTCGTTTTATAGGCTAAGTCAAAGGTCATTAAATGAAAGATATTGCCTTTCAATATTTTTTTAACACCGACACACATCTCGGGAGCCAATTATATAGAGCTATACAGCGCCGCGGAAAATATTAGATAGCCCTTTTGACCCTTTCGGTGACCCTTCGACGGTGCCACTGGTCACTTCCACTCACCTTTGAACAAAACATGCTCAAGCTGTGTACACTTCAGTCGTGCAGACGCCACGGACCCTGCGTGCGAATATATCATAATTCCGCTCCTTTTTGATAGCGCAGGGCGCTCAGCTGTCAGGCTCAGTTGTCCGACGATCCGTGTCCCTCGACCTCGGAAGTCCTTTATCCTCGTGGGCATGACATGGCGTGCCCTCCCCTCGGCCTCATCAAAACATTACCGGCAATGACACGGTCCCACTCAAGAAGTCCCGCCGCGGACCTATCCCCAGGCGCCACCGGAGTGGGTTTTGACGTCACAAAAGGAGCCCCGACGGATTGGAGGGGACGCTAACTGGCCGCCGGCCGGGGGCGGCGCTGAAGGGTGCGGGCAGGGGCCGGCCGAGTCCTGGAATGTACTAGATTTGCCAGACACGTGTTGCCAGCGGACAACCACGGCGACCACTTGGTATGCCATTGGTCGTCTTTATGAGGGTCGCCGATCGGCCGTCCGAACGATGGTCGAACGACGCAGTATATAGGTACTAAATAGCTACGGGGAGTTGGAATATGTCTGTAGCTACCAGGAAATTTTCCACTGGGATGCCGCCGCGTACGGGAGGTAACGGACTCGAGAACTGCGTGAGTAGATGTGATGGGGAGGGACAGATAATGGTTTGCGTGGGCAGAGGCGATTGGGTTGCGTGGGCAGAGGTGGATGGATTGTGCGCTTCTAACCGCATTAAGCGGAAGGAGTTTATCAGTTCAGGCGCTACGCGCGGTCGCCATAAGATCGTCTTATCGGTTGTCGTCGACAACGACAAAACGATACAATTTTTCAGCATGTACCGACGTCCAGCCGAAGTCCAGCCGACGTCGAGCCGACGTCGGGCCGAGGTCGTTTGCCGAGGTTGACGAGATCGTTTGTCGTTGGACCGACGGGGCCGACGTCGGCATGTTTACTGAAACAACGCGCCAAAAATATCAACCGGCGGCGGGATTCGAACCCCCCAGTCGCCGACGTCGGCATGTTTACTAGGACAACGCGCCAAAACCATCAGCCGGCGACGGGATTCGAACCCCGTGACGTATGAGCGCGCTAACCACTACACCACGCAGCCAGATGGCGATTTTAGTTTGTTTTGTTGGGTTATGCCCTTTCGGTCTGACAAGACCATTTCAGAGCCGGAAGGATGATAGGATGGAGACATTGGTCTTGGCGAGCACCCTGCGTCCAGTTCATATAGAGTCCCATTGCTGTTACGTGACACTTATTGGAAAGGGCGACCCCACAAATGGATTTATATAGCCACCCTTACACACCTGCACCAACGTTTTCAAAAGTGTCCCTTTGATAAGTGGCACTTTGGCAAAGTGACACTTGCCGACTGACCTTTCTATATGACTTATATGAATTGGGCCCGGCCCTGGTGAGTTGCCGGGGCTGAGCCTGACCAAAGGATAGGCCGAGCAGCCCCCAAGCACTCACCGCACCCGGCAGAGGTGAAAAACCTGCTTCTCGCCTGCGTGCGTAGGTGACAGCCGTAGGCATAAAGAGACAGATTCGAGCATCTCAGTTGATGCATTTAAAATAGATAACTAGTCCGTTTCCGCTAAAGCCAGAGCTGTCTTCCCATAGAGGGCCACTATGGACCACGGCACAAAAATTTAACAGCGTCATCTCTTTGTAGACAGCTGGGGCTGAAAAATCCCGCCGGTGCGACAGCCGGTGCGTTGTGAAGCCCCATAGACAACGCAGGAAAAACGGCGACAGCGCGACAGCTCGTCCCCGCTAGTCGCCGGTTGAGCGGTGGCGGGGACCGGCGCGGTCTTGGCCGCCGCCGCGCCGGAGTAGGGAAGGACCGGGCGACTGGGACGGGGGACGTCACATCTGGGCCACAACTGGGGTGAGGTCCATGACCATCGGTCCCAGAAACTTGGTAGGAGCGTTGATAATGGGGAATATTTGTTTCTGGTCCCTAAAAAGCTGTTTCTGGCACCTAATTGCTGATCAGCCCCAAAATGCTTATTCGACCCTAATATCTGAATCTGGCACCTAATTGCTTCCACACAGCCTAAAGTTGCCAGATCGTCTAGTTGAACTCCGTATTTGCTGTTTGCTGATTCAGCACCAAAACCAAAACATCCAGCACCTATTTTATTCCACGTTTGCCTACCTAATTCGCGTAATCTTCCTGATTTTATGTATCCTAACAAACATGAACGTTGCATTCGGTGATGTCAAGTGCCATTTTCGCCAGTGGAGATAATGATTAAATGCCATTTCTAGCCAAAAGAGAATCACTAGCCAGCTATGGTGCAGCATAGCAAGACGCTCCTATACCAGCCCGCTATGTAGAGATTATTGCACCCTCAGCCATTTTAACGTGAAAAGTTTGGATCCGTCACTTCCAGCCAGGCTCTCAGGTCATAAACTGGAGTAAAGCAAAATGTCAACTCTGAACAGACATGCCACGCAACCGGCCCTCTTTTCAATATTATTAGCTTTCTGGCTTTCTGCAATCATCGTCTGACTCCGTCTCGATCAAACGCAGCGTCCGGTTTCTACAGGGGCGTTTGACTGACCGGCCACACAATAACCAAAAACAAAATCAAAGCTTCATGCACATTGCACACATAAGTAAGAAACGGATGAAAAAGGCACAACCACGGCACAACTCTGCGCGGCAAACAACGGACAATGTCCCACGCAAGATCCCGCGTTTCTTCAGCGGCCTTGAACGGAATGAAAACATTACATTTCTTTTTTGGAGCTATTTGATGACGTCAAAAAATACAATACCGTTTAATGGTCAAAATCGAGACAATTACTCACAAAAATGTTTCCCTTTAAGCATTACAAATTGTAGTGTCTGGGCCGCCCGCCCGGCGGGGCGCTCGCGGCGGCACAGCATGCCACAGGGGCAGACTGGCCAGCTGGGCGGCTGGGCGGCGCCCGGGCGGGAGTCGCCGGCCGGGGACTGAGAGGCGCGGAGCGCGCTGTCCTGCATATCTTTTGTTATGTCTCTTTGAGTTCAATACCATCGTCTATGTGAGAAGACGTGACTGTGAGTGGCGGACGAGGACGGCAGGACGACAGTACACAATTTTGGCGACGAGGATAGAGGATTTGCGACTCTCCCAGCTTTAAGGTACAGTGCAGTCGGCTAAGATGGAGGGGATACGTCCGCCAGCTCCCTTGTTAGCCACCCCGGGCAAGCCGCTAACGTCATGGTCTGCTTGGCTATCAGATTTTGAAGTGTATGCCATGGCCATTGGATGGACTGACTGGGGAGAGCAGAGGCGTCAGGCACTGCTTCTCCATTGTGTGGGACAGGAAGCCAGGAGGCTGTTCAGGGCGGAGTGCCCAACAGGGGTCCCAAGTCAGGGCGGTGTTGAGCCAAAGTTTGAGGGGCGCGCTGCTACAATGTCACTGGTCGATGCCACTGTTGACGTACTGAGTCGTTTGTTTGAGAAAAAGTCAGATGTGATCACCGAGAGAGTTTTGTTTCGCAAATGCACCCAGGGCCAAACCACTGTTCGTACCTTTTTGGCGAACTTGAGAGAACGTAGCCAGAGGTGTGCGTTTGGGGCCCTTGAAGACGAAATGATCAGGGACCAGTTCCTAGAGGGGTGCTCGTCTGCTCGTCTGCGTGAACGTCTCTGCAGGGAGGATGATCTGACTCTGCCTCGGTTGGAGGTTGTTGCCCTTGCAGAGGACCAGGCGCTGGAGCGACAGCAGGCGGTGGGACGCTTGCAGACTGCAGCTGCAGAGCGGGAGCATGCACCGGTCAGCGTTGCAGCAACGGCCACCAAGCGGTACGCTCACGGCACGCGCAGTATGACTCCACTTTCAAGACGGAAGGTAAGCCCCTCTGGAGGGCGGGCTGGTACCTGTTTTGCTTGTGGACGTGTGGGTCATTGGAGTGCGGATGAGCAGTGTCCTGCACGTGTCGCCGTATGTCACGATTGTCACCAGGTTGGCCACTTCTGGCGATGCTGCCCGAAGAAGGGGGAGAAGACTGCTGGAGAGAAGCCCGTCGCCAGCGTCCAAGTGCTGTCGGTTGCAGTGACGTCTCCAACTGAAGACACTCGTCCGTACATCCAGCTGAAGGTAGCAGGCAAGTGGCTGAAATTCGTGGTGGACAGTGGGTCAGGTGTCTCCATTTTGCCGTTGGAGCAGTATCAGGCTCAGTTTGGTGACTTACCGCTACAGTCGGCCGCAGTGAAACTTCAGGCCTATGGGGGTGCCGAGTTACCTGTTGCTGGCGTGCTGAAGTGTGATGTTGAGTCATGTGGTCTGTCTGTGTCCGCCTCGCTGTACGTGGTGGAGGGATCGGTAGCACTGCTGGGCCGTAACTTGCAGAAACTGCTCCAGATCTCAGTCGTACATGGCAGTACGGTTTATGCTGTAGCTGATCAGTCAGATGAACATGAAGGATGTTCGTTTCCCCGCATCACAGAGGTTCACAGAATTCGGCTGGTGGAGGTAGCAGCACCAGTTCAGCAGAAGCAAGAAGCTGACGTACACTTGAGTGAGCCGGAAGACCAGGACGCCACCGGCGGCGGCGAGAACACTGCTGACGCACTGTCGCGTCTGCCAGCACCAGTGACGGAGGCAGCTGATGACGAGAGCATCACCGTAGCAGCAGTTGAAGCTCATCTGCAGGCGGTGACGAGGGAGGAGCTGGTGTCGGCATCTCGGTCGGACCCTCAGCTGCAGCAGCTGGCAGAGCAGATCCCACGGCCGTGGCCGACGCGGTACGGAGACTGTCCGGCAGCTCTCAGGCCGTTCTACCGCTTCAGGGGGGAGCTTGGAGCTGTAGAAGATGTCTTGGTCAGGGGAGAGCGTCTGCTGGTGCCGACCAGCCTCCGACAGCGTCTGTTAGCAGCAGCACACGAGGGACATCAAGGAATAGTCCTGACGAAGCAGCGGATCAAGCAGCACTTCTGGTGGCCTGGACTGGATGCAGCGGTGGAAGAGATGGTCAGAGCGTGCGAGGTTTGTGCATCTTCCGACAAGACGGCTACTCCGAGGAACGCTCCGCTGCACCCTGTACCGCTGCCTGAAGGACCGTGGGAGAAGGTCGGGATCGACTTCATCGGGCCGATGGAGGGCGGAGGACAGCGGCAGCGGTTCGCCATCGTTCTGGTGGACTACTTCTCCAAGTGGCCAGAGGTTGGCTTCTGCTCGAGCCCGTCGACGGAGGCGGCGATCGAGTTCCTGGAGGTGGTTGCTTCCAGGGAGGGGTACCCGTTACAAGTGGTCTCTGATAACGGTACGGCTTTTGTGTCCGCAGAGTTCACGGCTTACCTGCGGAGGGTCGGCGTTCAGCATGTACGGGTAACGCCGTACCACCCCAGAGGCGCTGGAGCGGTGGAGCGCATGAACAGAGTGGTGAAGTCCGCGCTGCAGACGGCGTCCAAGGAGAAGCAGGACTGGTCACAGGCGGTGCGCCAGTTCCTGAGGACGTACCGTTCGACGCCTCATGCAACCACCGGCCTGAGTCCGTCGGAGATGCTGCATGGTCGTCAACTCCGGACGATGCTGCATGCACCCACGCACCCTCCGGGTAAGGTAGCGGCCGACAGTGCCCGTACCAGGGACCGTGTCGCTAAACGGCAGAGGCGGCAGAAAAGTGTACTGGGACAGGAGGAACCGATCTGTCAAACCGTCATTCAGTGTCGGTGACTGGGTGAGGTACCGTGTCATGCCTGTGCCCAGGAAAGGTAGAGACCGTTTTTCTGCTCCTCACAGGATCGCTGAGCTGGTTGGACCATCGGCGTACCGGCTGGACAGTGGAGCACTGGTCCACGCCGAGAGGCTGACTCGCTGGACTGGGTCGCCTCCGACCGGACTGGGAGACGCCGAGCAGCCGCAGCTCTCGGACCTTCCCGTCGTCCGCTCCCCGCCGGAGCCGGTCGACGAGCCTCCGGCTGAGGCCACGGCGTCGGCACAGACTCCAGAGCGGCGGCCCGGATCGTCAGCCCGACGTGCGGGGTCACCATCTGCGGCACTCGCGGTGGACACAGCGGCGGCGACGCGCTCGCCGGCCAGTGAGACGAGCGGCTCCGGTTCGAGGTGCTCAGAGTGATGGCACCGCACGCGATCTGGGAGACGTGTTCGTGCACCTGTGCGTTTGTGTCCGTAGGTGTACCTTTGTGTAGGGGGAAAGATGTAGTGTCTGGGCCGCCCGCCCGGCGGGGCGCTCGCGGCGGCACAGCATGCACAGGGGCAGACTGGCCAGCTGGCGGCTGGGCGGCTGGGCGGCGCCCGGGCGGGAGTCGCCGGCCGGGGACTGAGAGGCGCGGAGCGCGCTGTCCTGCATATCTTTTGTTATGTCTCTTTGAGTCAATACCATCGTCTATGTGAGAAGACGTGACTGTGAGTGGCGGACGAGGACGGCAGCGACACTAACAAATAAATACTTTTAAATATTTAAATGACATTGTTTTTTTCAAACAAATCAATATTATTGCTTACATAACTGGCGTTATCTTTAGTTAACACCGTAACGCTGTCGCATCGTGTGCTCCGTTCATCAGTGTTGGCTGTTTATCGGCCGCCCGTCTCTCGCTCTCCAGTGTATCCCATTTACCTTACTGGCGATACAAGGAGAGAAGAAACGAGCGACGAGGGAGATGGTGGAACTTGGAAGGGATAACGAATAGAAAAGGGGCAAGCTGGTCGGATGGGGTGGGTGGCGGAAACCCGCTTCGGCGGAGCCGCCGCGCCGCCCGGAGCCGCCAGCCCGCACTGAGGCTCGCTCCCCTCGCGCTCGCCCGTCCACCGGCCGCGCTACGGCCCCTCCGGCGCTCATCAAGGTCACCGAACACCGGCCCGTACAGTGCGGCTCCGTCATAGGCTTACGGGCGCGCAAGAGCATGATGCTACGTTACCGTTAACTGGCATATAACTGGCGTTATCTTTAGTTAACACCGTAACGCTGTCGGCATCGTGTGCTCCGTTCATCAGTGTTGGCTGTTTATCGGCCGCCCGTCTCTCGCTCTCCAGTGTATCCCATTTACCTTACTGGCGCCAATAACACCCGACAGGACAGAATGTTATTGCGAACATAAGTATGTACGGTATTCGTATTGTTCTATTCACTGGATTCCAGTGACAGGCGCCGGGTCCCCCTGGGATCACTCAGGAAATCGGACAGGCCGAGCGGCAAACTATCAGGGTCAGCCTGGGCGTGCGGTCGCAGCAATCGGAAACGATGCAAATCACCGCGCGACAGACTGTCGGCAGGACCGTTGTCGTTTGTACGTACATAGGCCACGGATAACACGAAACTCTGGCATGCGGATGCGAAGAGAATATGACGCAGTACGGCCATGATTTCGGATTGCTGGACCATCCACGCGACAGGCATCCTACCACGCCCATGTTATCGGAATAAACTCGTACACGCTTCCCAGACCACAGACTGCCCCACAGTACACATGATACGAGAACGGAATGATCTCGAGCCACGTCATGGACTGTGTGTCTCTCGGGTGATACATTCCGGCCACTGAACTAGCCACCATCGCTGGCCAAAACACGCTCCGGTACCCCAGCGAAACTGTCGTGTAGAAAAAACGTCGGCATTCGCGGTACGGTCGTCGGGATGAAACAGCGGGAAAGTGCCGGACCACATCGGAAGTATTTAGCCCACCAGCGTAGGTCGGCGCGTGCCGCCGCGGTGAGACGTACCCGGTGCATGGGCGCGGGCAAGGCTCTATCGCGGGGACGGTACATGCCAGGTCGAGCAGTCTGCGGGTAAAGGCGCGGCCGGGTGGTACACATTTACCGCGTGGACTAGCCGTCCCACGATGGACAAGAGCTCACGCTTGTGCACTTTCGTTTGTGAAGGAGCTCACCGATTGTCTCTTTCAGTCTCTGAAGTTTGTCGTCGGGCAAAGCAACCGTCATAGCCACAGAGTATATGGATACCGAGCAGTGTCAGGACGTTGTGGGCGCCACACATTTCTCGACTGCGAGGGGACACGTATCATATCACAAGTATCATGTATAGCATGGTATGCTCGCTGGGCGTCGGGAGAACCGGACGGTGCTACGAGCCAGAAGTCATCGAGGTATTGCGCACCTGGCCTCTCCACACGCTGCTGAACAATGCCTCTAAACAATCGGCAAAATCGTTAAATATACGCGGGAGCTCCTACTACCGAAACTTAAGCAACTTGAAATAATAATGTCTGTCCCATTTAAGCCAAGCAGTCGCCATTGCTCCGGGCGGACTGGTATCAGCTTGAACGCTGCTCGAATGTCCACTTTAGCGATAGCGCGCCACGGCCGCCAGCTGCGTAAATTAATCGAAACACTTCGTTAACGGGAGTGTAGGACATACAAAATCTTCTACATCTATTCCATCATTTACACTACTACCCGCTGGCTGTGAAAGGTCCAAAATAAGTCTCGTACCTCCGTCACTCTCTTGTCTCTCGCACTGAGAGGGTTAACAATGAACCCCGGCAGCGGCGGCACCCGAAACGGTCCGAGTTGTCCCCGTCGCCACTTCCGCGGCGATGGCCGCTGAAACTCCAGCGTGACGAAACAGGCAGATCTGTTGTTAGCCGTACTCCGACCGTCTGGAGATCCCCGGTAGCCAATTCTGCTCCGTCGACAAACGCTGAACCACAGTGTCCCGCAACGCAGGTGACAGGGTTGGGCAGCGGCGCAGCAGTCTGTCGAGGGCCGCCACGTCAACACCGGAGTCGTACACCTGAGCGTCGTCAGTTGCGACCGCCGGTTCCGTGCTGACGGCCCGGCCTGAGTACGGCCTGGTGGGCCGAACCGGTGTGTTGGCCGTGGGATGCTGCACGCTACGACAGATGTCGCAGCGGGGGTGGTACGACCCCACGGACAGACCGATCCGGGGCTGCATAAGCCCTGTTGAAAATTCCGACACAACGAGTTGGTAGCTAGATTGAATCTCCTGGGCACCGTCACGGGGGCCGGGCCCAACGCCGCCACATGGTCAAAATCGCCGCGGTCATGAGCTGCTGCGGTCGTGTCGCCATGAGCTCACGAGCTCTCATGTCCGCCGTGCGGACCTCCACCATGGAACGGCCAACGCTGCGCCGCAGCAACCAAGCCTGTAGACCGCCATCTGGAAACCGACGGCCGGAAAATGTACACCTGATAGGTAGAGAGCTCTGCGACGCGTGCGAGACTCGGCGACGGACGTCGGCCCTGCTCCGTGCTGCCGTACGACTCACTAACATAGACGCACTTCGAGCGATACGAAGACTCTGCGCAGCTGTGTCGCTGACGCCCGCCAGACGCAGTAAGCGGGCGCGGCGGCTTGGTCAGTGACTGGACATTCGCTGTCGCGTGCTCTTCAAACTTATCCACTTCTGTCCCATGGCTCCGTGCTATACGCTCCATGGTGGCCGCGACATGTCAGGTCCACTGATCGCGCCCCCGCCGACAGCAGCCCGCTGGGCACACCCACGGTGGAGCCGCCACGACGGCGCCCACGTCATGCCGGCACGTGTCGTGGTTCCACCCCCGGCGCCCTGCGTAGCCGGCCCCGCGTAGCCGAAGAAATGGGGGGCACCAGCCGGCGCCTGTTGTCTGAGCCGCCTGATGCTCGTCCGGAAACGACGGTGGCGGTGGGCCTCCAGTCGCGTGGGTAGCTGCATCAGCTCCCCCGTAGTGCAGGCGGTGGGCGCGGCCGCGAGGCCGGCCGCCGCCCGGTTCGTGGTGCCGCCGTAGTGGCTGTCCGCCGACGCCAGTCCCCCACTCGCTGAAGATGGGACGAAACACGGCCTCGGCTGTTCAGCCCGGGAGTGAGCGGCGCGAGTAGTACGGCACTCAGCGGCGCGCTCGGCCCCGTCTCTCGGGGGAACCCCTCCGTAGAGCGCGTCACCCGTCAGCGGCTGGGGGAACGCCCCGTAAGTCGTGGCTGGCGAGCGCACCACTCGCTCCCGCCGCTGTGAGCGGTGCGCCAGGTGGCTGCCTGTCGGCTACAGCCGGCTGCGCCAGCGGCTGACGAGAGCCGGTCTGCTCGACGGGCATGGGCCGCGGCGTCAGACACCGGCGCGGGCGCCGCCCCCTCTGTCCCCAGTGGGCAGCGGAAGGTCGCAGGAGCTGCCGCCGACGGCTCTACTAGGGAGGCGACTCCAGCGCCCGAGCCCCCATCAGGTCTAACACCTAAAATGGAGCACCACGAGTCAGTGTGGAATCAGATCCCGACCAGCACAAAGGGGTAACACTTCAGGGTGCACCATGAAAGGGCAGATTGCAATGCAGACCACAGGGACCGTCACTGTCTGGGATGGGGGGGGGGAGAAGAGTCCGTCCTAAAACTACAGGCTCTGATATATGTCCCTGCCTGACTGAAATTATTCCCCGCGGGAAAAAGGACACGCGCAACCCCTTGTCCCTCGGGCGGAATCCAATGCTGCAATTAACCGTCCACTTGCATACCCGGAAGTCAGTAACTTGGATCAGATAGTAACATGTATTGCTGAATCACGAACGGTAACGAAATCCCTTGTCGCCAGCTAACCTGCGGGCACGACGGGCCACACGCCGTTGCACGTGGTGTGCCGAAGACAAGACACGTGTCGGCTTCTGTTCATGGTGGCGGAACTGCCCTGGCGGACACCAGTCGTAGCGCTCGGGCTACCTCCGGCCGCTGACACCGAACGTAACCGTTAAACGCTTCGCTGGACCATCGTCCCAGTCGACGAATCACAGAGTCATCGACGCCCGCCTCACAGGCAGCCGTGGCGATTCCAATGCGCAAGCTGTGGCTACTAAAGCCGGTGCCGAGCACTGCGCGTAGTATGGCATTGAGGTGACGGCGACTGAGTGGTGTACCGTCTTGCATGACAAACAACGGTGCTGCGCTGGGAAAGCAGGCATCGCGGGCCACAACATATTGCTGTAGGCTACGCACTGGACATGTATCAGTACCAGTGGCCGGCAGCGTGATACAC